CGCATGCGGCCGCGGGCACTGGGGCCTTCGGTGGAGCTCCCTATGGAGCCACGAAACGTGTGAGGGGTGTGCCGAAATGGGTGTGGGGGACGCATGCGGCCGCGGGCACTGGGGCCTTCGGTGGAGCTCCCTATGGAGCCACGAAACGTGTGAGGGGTGTGCCGAAATGGGTGTGGGTGACGCATGCGGGCGCGGGCACTGGGGCCTTCGGTGGAGCTCCCTATGGAGCCACGAAACGTGTGAGGGGTGTGCCGAAATGGGTGTGGGTGACGCATGCGGGCGCGGGGGGCAGCTGGGGCCACGAAACGTGTGAGGGGTGTGGTATGCTGGGCCCTGGATGGAGCCACGAAACGTGTGAGGGGTGTGCCGAATGGGTGTGGGTGACGCATGCGGCCGCGGGCACTGGGGCCTTCGGTGGAGCTCCCTATGGAGCCACGAAACGTGTGAGGGGTGTGCCGAAATGGGTGTGGGTGACGCATGCGGGCGCGGGCACTGGGGCCTTCGGTGGAGCTCCCTATGGAGCCACGAAACGTGTGAGGGGTGTGCCGAAATGGGTGTGGGTGACGCATGCGGGCGCGGGCACTGGGGCCTTCGGTGGAGCTCCCTATGGAGCCACGAAACGTGTGAGGGGTGTGCCGAAATGGGTGTGGGTGACGCATGCGGGCGCGGGCACTGGGGCCTTCGGTGGAGCTCCCTATGGAGCCACGAAACGGTGTACTGGGTGGGTGAAGAGGAGAGGAGGAGAGGAGGGGAGGAGAGGAGGAGAGAGAGAGGAGAGAGGAGGAGGAGGAGGGAGAGGAGAGGAGAGGAGAGAGGAGAGAGAGGAGAGGAGAGGAGAGGAGAGGAGAGGAGAGGAGAGGAGAGGAGAGGAGAGGAACGCGGGGCACCGTCTCTTCAAAACGAGGACCCAACACCACAGGATGGTTGGGAAAAAACAAAAAAACAAAAAGCTCCCCCGAGAGGTTCCAAGGCTCGCCCGAAAACCCGCCGGGAGTCCCCGAAGCGACTCCGCGAGGCACCCGAGAGATTGCTCGGAGGTTGTCGAACGATCCTTCTCGGCGGAGCACCCGGGGTGGAAGTGAGAACCGGGGGCAACGATAGGGGGGGATAGGCACAGGGGGGGATGCATCGACCCCCAGTCGTCCACTGATCGCCGATAGGGGCCCGATAGCCCCACCCCGCCCAGGAAGGTGCGGACTCACTATCGGGGGCCTATCGCTGATCTATCGGCGACGTATCGCCGATTCCAGGTCGACGCATCCCCCCTATGCCTATTCCCCACTTATCGTTGCCCCTCAGAGAAGGAGAAGAAGGCCTTCTCAGAAGGCTCGGAAGCCCCCCGGCTATCTGAGAAGCTGTTGTAAGACTTCACCGAAGACACCGAGAATTTCTCGGGAGGCCGGGGGGCTCCTGAGAAGTCCCGCCGCCCTCTGAGAATGGTGTCTCCCTCTCGCTTCCCCCCCTCGCTCGCATCCGACCTTCCGATGCCAGCAGGCTCCCACGCACCCAGGAGCTTCCACGCTATGCCGTCTCCGGCCGGTCTTGGGCCAGGCCCGGGTCTCTCGACCTCCAACCCCGCCCCGGGGGCCCGCCCACCTCGATGACATTTGCGACGAGCCCCAGGACACGCCGATCGTTGAAGCTGGGTATTCTGTCGGGGCTCAAGAGACGGGGGTCGATGCAAACGGGGGCCAGCCAGAGCGCCAGATCTCGCAAGATCCCGCAAGATCTGGCAAGGCCTGACTCGCCCGGGTCTGCAGTGACCTGGGTTAGTGGATCCCCGTTTTTTGGACTACCAGATCCCAACCGACCTCAAGCGCCTGCCCACTTCAAGAGTCGATATGTGTTTGCTGCAGTGTGTCGTTATTGGGGCGGGCCCGGGCCCAATCTGTTACATCCGCTTTCTTGCTTCATGTTTCCATGTATTTCTTCCGACTGGCGGGTGCCATCCTCCCGGGCTCCGAAGACCGCCCCAAGAGGGCCTCAAGACGGCTCGGGACGTTGCTTCCGAGACAGGCAGAAGTGCTCCAAGACAAGACGGCCCACGAGGGCTTCCCGACGGCCCAAGAGGCCCCCACGAGCGCCCAGAGAGCGCAAGGACGCCTCCACGAGACACCCAAGACCCCGCTGAAGAAGCTCCCGAGAAGATCACAAAGATGTCAGCGTTCTTACCTCCCTGAGCCCCCGATTGCCCAAGATGCCCACAGACTGCCCCAAGACGGCCCGGGTGAACCCCAAGAGAGCCCCAAGACGGCCCCGGAGGGCGGTTCCACGGTCCGAGAGGCCCCACAAAAAGGGCGCCCCAGACGCCCCTGGGTGAGCCCTGAGAGTGGTCTCACAGACGCCGACCCCGCCAGCCAACCCCGAAGGGGCTTCCAAGAGGCCCCCAGGGGGCCCCAGTCGCCCCCAAGAGGGCCCCAAGACGGCCCAAAAGGGGCCCTGGACGGCCCTAGCGGAGGCCCGAGAGAGCCCCAATTTGGCCGTAGATGTTTTCCAAGAGTTTTTCGGATTCTGGCAAGTTCTCTCCTCTCCTCTCCTCGCGGCACTGCGCCTCCGTGGCCTCTCTTTCATCTCTATTTTTTGTTGTCACGAGCTGGCGCGTAGTCTTGCTGCACGATCTGTGAGGGCAGAGTGGACGGAAGGCACCCGCCCATATCAGGGGGGAAGCATGTCCATTCGCAGTGGAAGTGTTCCATGCTGCGAGACGCGGCCCTGCACGATTTGTGAGTGCACAGTGTGAGGCGCCCCCTTATATAACTGGGGGCCCCGCAGCCGTTCATGGCTTGTGTTTTGTTGGCGACGTTGTCTGACAACAGGTGCCGACCACGCCCCCTCAAGAAAGGCAGCACGTATGGCCCAAGACGGTGCCAGCATTGCCTAAGCGGGGCGGAACGAGTCTATGTGACCGTGTCTCGTTATCTCCAGCACAAATGCTGTCCTTGCGTGCGCGGTCGTTACGAGGTGACGAAGGCCACCTCGCGAATGACTTGGCTGCGTGGTTTCACATGCAAAAAATTCTCCAGAAAGATCCCACGAGGATTCCCAGACGACCAACATCAGTCAAACCGTGCGGAAATCTGATGTGTAGCTATTATCTTGTTTACGTCGGCTCAAGGTAAATCTAAGAGGGTCGCGGGGGGGAGTCAGAGGCGCCCAACAGGACCCCAAGATGGTGCCAAGAGCGCCCCACGACAGACCAGGACAGCCCCAAGACGGCCCCAAGAGAGTTCAATGGAGCTTCCGCAGGAGCCCAAGACGGGCCGAGATGGCCCCAAGAGAATCTCAAGATTGCCCCGGGAGGGCTCCACGAGGACTCTCCAGAGACCTTTCTTGAGCTCGTCGCGAAGACTTTGACGCAGAACACATGTGCAGTCGCTACGACTGTCGTCATTATGATGCTGCAGCTCTTGAGAGCCCCGTGTGGTTTCCACTTCGCATCTGAAAGCAGTCGGGATTTCCCGAATGGAGCCCAAATGGTCCGCGCGACCCCTTGAGAAATCCAAAGACGACCCTCACTCGGCCCATTAAGCCACTAACGTTGCCCCAAAACAGGCCCAAGAAGGCCCAAGACCTGACCGAAGCAGCCTCAAGACGCTGCATGAGGATCCCAGGACCCCCTCAACGATTCTAAGAACTCCCAGACCGCCACAAGATTTCAAAAGGGCCCCGCAAGGACGAGGTAGGAGCGCCCCCTCGTCTGCTTGCACGCCGTCCTGCTTCAATGGCAGCGGCCGCAGTGATCTTCTCAGGCTCTTACTCGGACTCCGGAGCGTTATGTCTCTATGTGTTTTCTTCTGAGGGAAGCGATTGTGGATTTGGCAGGGTGATCCGCAAGAGGCGTTGCTGTATGCACCCACTGTGCTCTGTAAGTGCTTGTCCTGCGTTGCAGATTCTCATCGAGGGAGGCCGGGCGGGAGACGAGGGCGATACCCGCACTCAGACCAATTCCCACGACCATGCCCTTCCGAATTCGCCATTCCAACCCATACCCATAAACCATACCAGTGCCAGACCGATATCCGTAAAAGTGCAGGCCGAGGCCCACGACGATGCCCATAGTTGGCTCTGCGCAAAATGACCCAAGTGGCGCGCAGAGTAAGACACACACCTACCCATTATCTCTCATATATATATATATATATATATATATATATATGTATATGTATACAGATATAGAAACACACACACACACACACACACACACACATACACACACTTGGTAAGGCATATCGGCTTACTCATATGCTTGCCAATTGCCATGCCCAGACGCGAACCAATCAATATGCACGTCAACACCCATACACGTACGGCCGGCCTGTTCGTGTGCAGTCATGCCCTTATCTACTCACATTGCCGACGAACATTGCGAATTGTGTCAGCAATAATCAACCCACAATTGTTTGAACACCGTCAATCCACCCAGACCGTTCCTCAGACCCATAGCTTTACACGTACAACCCCAAACGCATCCACGTAGTTTAATATCAGCAGTATATCATGTGCCAAATCGACGAATAACCAATCATGCCAATGTCCATAAATAGGACGCAGTCCACTACACTCCTGGTAGGCATCGTGCACGCAGAAGTCCCAGACAGAGCGTGAATGTATAACCTAAGCGCGCGTGAAGTTCGCGCGAGGTTCTCGTGGAACATGTTCTCTGTACCCAGGCGTTGCCGCGTGACGCGAAACGCATAATAGTGTGTGTGTGTCCGCCTTTCTGGCGCGCCCACGAGGCGCGTGGACAAGCGTAGTAGTTGTATTTCTCTTGCCAGACGTTGCCGCGAGATGAGTGGAGTAGGATAGTTTGCTTTCACCCTGCAGACGTTGCGAAGGGGCGAGCAGAGTGGAATTGCATGCGTCCCGCCCAGTGGCCTGGCTCTTCGACGGGTAGACTGGAGTAGTTGGTTTTCGCCCTGCTCCCCACCACCCACCAGGCGGTGCCGCGTGACGAGTACGAGTAAGATGGTCTGTCCTTCGCCCCGCCCCCCCCCCCCCCCAGGCGTGGCCACATAGCGAGTAGAGTGGAATAAACTATTGGCCCCCAGGCGCTGCCGCGCGACGTGGAACGCAAGATCGTAGTTGGTTCGGTCCCTTGGGCGTCGCCACTTGGCGCGCAGAAAAGCATAGTAGTTATTTTTGTCCCGCTTGCCAGACGTTGCCGCGAGATAGTGGAGCAGGATAATTTGTGTTCACCGTCCCAGACGTTGCCAAGGGGTGAGCAGAGTGAATTTGTGTGTGTGTCCCGCCCCTTGGCCTTTCCGCGTGGCGGGTAGATTGGAATGAAATCGGTCGTTTATTTCGCTCCCCCCCACCCAGCGTTGCCGCGTGACGAGTAGAGTGGCATTGTATGCATGTCGCCCCAAGGCGTTGCCACGTGGCGGGTAGAGTGAATATGTTCTCGGCCCCGGGGCGTTGCCGCGTAACGTGAGTGTGGTTGGATAGTGTGTGTGCGTCTGTGCGTGAATGTGTGAATATGTGAATGTGTGTGTGGTTGTGTGGTTCTGTGTTTCATGTGTTTGTGTGTATGTGTTGTTGGTTGTTGTGTGGTTGTGTGGTTGTGTGTGCGTGTGTGCGTGTGTGCGTGTGTGCGTGTGCGCGTGTGTGCGTGTGTGCGTGTGTGCGTGTGTGCGTGTGCGCGTGTGCGCGTGTGCGCGTGTGCGCGTGTGCGCGTGTGTGCGTGTGTGCGTGTGCGCGTGTGTGCGTGTGTGCGTGTGTGCGTGTGTGCCTGTGCGCGTGCGCGTGCGCGTGCGCGTGTGCGTTCGCATGCGCGTGCGCGTGTGCGTGTGCGTGCGCGTGCGCGTGCGCGTGCGCGTGCGCGTGTGCGGGCGCGTGCGCGTGCGCGTGCGCGTGCGCGTGCACGTGCGTGTGTGTGTGTGTGTGTGTGCCCGCTCTCTGCGTTGCCATGCAGCGCGTAAAAAAAACAATGAAAAAAACAAAAAAACAAAAACAAAAAACATAGTCGTTGATGCTTCGCTTTCAAGGCGTTGTGGCGGGATGGGGAAAGCGGGGTATGTGTTTCGTCGCCCCCACCCGCCTCAGGCGTTGCCACGGGGTGAGTAGATTGGAATCGTATGTTGCCCGCCCCATGGCGTTACCGTGAGACCAGCACATTGGGTTAGTTCGTTTTCTCCACACCACCACCAGGCGTTGGCGCGAGATGAGTAGAGTGAGATAGTGCATCGGTCCCCCCCCCCCCCCGAGGCGATGTCACGTGGCGAGCATGGTGGAATGTGTGATTGGCTCCCAGGCGTTGCCGCGGGACGTAAGCATAGGGTAGTATGTGTGTCCGCCTCTAGGCGTTGCCGCGTGGCGCGTTGCCTACTTCCTCTACAACCATCACGACCACGATTACGATTAATACGACGATGAATACTACTACTACTACTACTACTACTACTACTGCTACGACTACTGCTTCTACTACTACTACTACTACTACTACTACTACTACTACTACTACTACGACTACTACTACTACTACTACCACCACCACTACTACTATTAATACTACTACTACTACTACTACTACTACTACTACTACTACTACTACTACTACTACTACTACTACTACTACTACTACTGCTACTGCTACTACTACTACTACTACTACGACTACGACTACTACTACTACCTTTACCACTACTACTACTACTACTACTACTACTACCACTACTACTACCACTACTACTACTACTACTACTACTACTACTAGTAATCCGACGACTACTATTACTACGACTACCATTACTACGACTATTACTACACCTACGACCAGTACTGTTATTATGGTGACTGCGACTACTACTACTACTACTACTACTACTACTACTACTACTTCTACTACTACTACGACGACGACTACTACTACTACTGCTACTACTACTACTACTACGACTACTACGACTACTACTACTACGTTTACTACTACTACTACTACTACTACTACTACGACTACTACGACTACCACTACGACTTCTAGTACCACTACCACTACGACTACTATCACTATTACTACTATTATTATGTTTACTACTACTACTACTACTACGACTACTACTATTACTACTACTACGACTACTAGTAGTAGTACTACTACTACTACTACGACTACTAGTACTACTACGAATCCGACTGCTACCACTACCACTACTACTACTACTACTACTACTACTACTACTACTACTACTACTGCGACTACTACGACTACTACTAGAACTACTACGACTACTACTACTACTACTACTACTACTACTTCTTCTACTACTACTACTACTACTACTGTTGCTACTACTACGACGGCTACTACTACTGCGACCACTACGACTCACTACTACTACGACTACGACTACCGGCATTATTATTACGACGATTACTACCACTACTACTACTACTACTACTACTACTACTACTACTACTACTACTACTACTACTACGATTACTACTACGACTACGACTACGACTACCATTACTATTTCTACTACTATTATTACTACTACTACTACGACTACTACTAGTACTACTACGACTACTACTAAAATTGCAACTACTACGACTACTACGACTACTACTACGCTTACGACTACTACGATTACTATTACTACTGCGACTACAACTACGACTATTATTACTACATCTACTATCACTACTACAATACGACGACTACTACTACGACTACTACTACTACTACTACTACTACTACTACTACGACTACTACTTCTACGACTACGACGACTACTACTACTACTACTACTACAACTACTACTACGACTATTTCCATTACTGCTACCATTACTATTACGACTACTACTACTACTGCTACTACTACTACTACTACTACTACTGCTTCTACTACTACGACTACTACTACCACGACTACTACTATTACTACTACTACTACGACTACTACTACTACTTCTACTACTACTGCTACTCCTGCTTCTACGACTACGGCTACTACTACATCCACTGCTACTACAACTACTCATACAACTACGATTACTACTACTACTACTACTACTACTA